CCATGGTGTAAAATAGATGGCATAGGTGCTAGGCACAGTATTGAGCTTTCTTGTCTGTCTACTAACACGGAAATTCCGTAAGAAGTAGGCATGTCCCTCCACCATAGACATTGAAAACTTCTGTATTTCATTTTCTCCCATGCAAGCTGTAATGCCTACCCCCTAAGAAATTCAATTCATACCATGGGAAATAAAAATAATGTCATCCATGTCCTGTAAATAAACTGATATAATTAATATGATTAATTTTGTACCTCTTCATCGACCAAGAGAAGTTCCAAAGCAGTAAAATATCTCCCTTTGGAAGTTCCAGATAGATGCCATGACCTTGCAACTCTGACCTTTATACGCCAATTATGCCTGGTGGAATTAATTTCTGATAGCAAACTGTACTCCATCGGAAGCTTTTAAGTGAAAGGAAGGAAAGGAACAAACTGATTAACTAATTAATTAGTATAATCGAGATGTGGGATGTACATCGTAGGAAAAGTTGATGAGTATGTAGCAAGAAAACACTAAAAAGTTGCAAAACAAATAGAGGCTCAAAATCGGGGTAAAACTTAGGAGTAAGGAGGAAGAAAAAAAACCTTGAACATGGAAGAAGAAATACTAATGAGACTGCAACACCTCTTTGTAAACAATGTTCTGGGTAATACTACAACTAGATTCCTTATCATTATCAATTAGAATTCTAAGCCCATTTCTAGAAGTAACATGTGATATAGCCACATAGAGTTGTCCATGAGTAAAAACTGGGCGTGGCAAATATAAACCAATATTCTGCAAAGTTTGTCCTTGGCTCTTATTGATGGTCATTGCATAACAAAGTCAAACAGGAAATTGTCGGCGGCTAAGAACGAAAGGCCAATTAGTGCTTGATACATGCAATGCGATTCGAGGGAGAAGGACTTTATGACCTATATGTGAACCTGTAATGATTTCAGCCTCCAAAACTCGATCACCTAGTTGTGTTATTATAAGCCGCGTGCCGTTGCAAAGTCCAGCACTTTGATTTAAGTTACGTAACAACATCACAGGTGCTCCAATCTTTAATACAAGATTATGTGGAGGAATGCCTTTAAATTGTAATGAATTTAAAAACTCAACTGGGTAAAGCAAGTCTAGATTACCATGTCCTCTCGAGGATTCAACCAAAGTATCTGAACTCAGGTAATTTTTTTCATGGCTAGGGACCAAAGAAAGAACACGGCTGTTGATTTCATCAATAGTATCATTCTTTGGAGCAATAATAGCCCTCTCCCTTAAATAGGTTGGATTGGAATATGATATTTCCAAGTTTGGATAAGTAGATTTAATAATATCATCTATAGCAGAGTCCAACCTTGGAATTAAGATGTCATTTGGTATCTCTATCCATTCGGAGTCTCCATCATCACTTTGTGAACTACCTTTTGCAGTACCATCACCAATACTCAACACCCATTCGTTAAATTCTTTTATTTGATTAGCCGGTAAACCACTATCTAACATCCCGAGCAATCGCATGTTAACCTTTAGACGTAAAACATTAACATGACTCCATAGGTATGAATTAGTTATTGATGCATATCTATCGTCTCCAACCTACCTCCACTCTTGACTACCGGTAATACTTGCCTAAAATCTCCACCAAACAACATAGTCTTTCCACCAAACACCCTGTTGAAACATGAAGGATCTGTTTTACCAAGAATGTCACACATGCTGCAGTCTAGTGATTCAAAACAATACCGGTGAGTCATTGGAGCTTCATCCCATATTATCAAAGAGCACTGCACTATTAAATCAGCAAGGAATGTCCCTCTCTTGATATCACACAAAGATGCCTCGTCAATGACTATAGGGATTTTAAATCGAGAATGTGCAGTACGACCTCCTAGGAGCAAGAGGGAAGCAACCCTAGAAGAAGCTACTGCGAGAACAATATGCTTTTCGGATCATAGACGTGAAATAATAGTATTTCAAAGAAAGGTTTTTCCAGTGCCACCGTACCCATAAACAAAAAAGCATTATCCTGTTCTATCATAGACCGACCGAATGACAGTATCATAGATGTGCTTTTGTTCCCCATTTAGTTGCTTGATCATAGTGTCATGCTCATTTTTAAGTTTTGCAACATCATATGCCATTTCCTCAGCTAACAACCTGTTTTTTACTTTACTTAAGAGACTTAGATCAGGTTTAGGCAAGCCATAATCACTCATGGAAGCACCATTTTTAGTAAACAAATTATCAAACTCCACTAAAACATGATTTTTCAAATGTTGTTCAGGAAATATATATAAAGGCAGTTGTATTATCGATTGAATTTTACGGTGGATATCATCAGTGAAGTAAATGTAAAACTCATTAAACAGCGAGAGTGCATCACAAGCAGAGCAAAACAGGACTATAGTAACAAATAGCTGTCGCATCTGAGTAGCTGAACTCCACAGAGATGCTTCCCTAAGAGCCTCACGCCACTCATTGTCATCACCAAGTAGACCAAGTGCCTGATATGCATCCTTAAATGACGGGTATAAAACACCATGAACAATTCGCAGATCTTCATACGATGTAGCCCCCTTGACAACATTTAGAAGCATACGAAGGTAATAAAGCTCACCACAACTAGGATTAATGTAGATAGCCCGACCAATTTTTTTTTTGATGTCGACCTATGAGAATGCCAATGTTTCTCCTTTTTATCCCAAATCCACTTTGTTGGAAACTCTATATATGTTAGCTCTCGGGCATTTGGATATATCTTATTAGCAGAAAACTACTCAGTCAAAGTTGACTTTCTTGAACGAGGGTCATCTACAATATCAACTAATGATCGCTTAGCTGGGTACACAATGCTATTCATCAAGGGAAGATGTACAGCTAACCTCTCAACTGCTGGTACTCTATAATATATATCAAATTCAAACAAACGCCAAACAGCCTCATGCGAAGATAAATAACGGCAATCAATGTATTCTTGTACCTCAACAACATTGTTAGTTTGTTCCTTCACACTCGAGTTTTCGGCACTAAAGTCATTGCTATTAACTCCACCTTCTAAATTCCTTGTAGGGTCGTGAGCGCCAAAGCTCTCAATTACAGCTCTAACACGGTCTGGGCCTTTAGTAATATATTTAAACAAGTATTTTATAAGATGTCTCTTAATGCACCACTCGACATTTATATGAGCTTGAAAACACTTTAATAGTTTCAAGTTATATGGCACAACCCAAGCGTTGTCCAATTTAACCCTATACCGCTCAACAAAGTTGCCCATTTCCGCACGACGCCTATACTGCACAAAACCATCCTCACCCACGACTGTGCCATCCTGGTAATTTTTTGGGAAAAAATTTGAGCACTTACCATCTTTCATGCATTTGCATTGTTTATTTAAATCCCCACAAGGACCATGCACCATAAATTCATCGACAAGTCTATAACCCTCTGGGTCTGACAACCTGTTGGGTATCTTTGCACATATTATTGAAGTAATGAAGGAGGGATGTGGGTCTTTAGTATTACCTTAAAGCCAAACCAAAATATGGACGTGAGGTAGACCACGCTTCTAGAACTCAATGGTGTATAGAACTGAAATACAAGAAGAAAATAGTAAGGTGTGATAATATATACACACACACAATACATACATTATAGGCTAAAGCACCAAGTTGATACAATAAATTAGCCCTTGATCACTGCAAAAGGGTGACGAATAGACTAACAACTTTCTACATTTTTTTAACTACACAGGCCGCTCAAAAAATCATGTTGTAATATGTTAATTATAGCTTACATAATTAGTAGCTGGTTAAACTAACCAAATCCTTGTGTAACTTGATGTGGTAGGTAACTACTGGTAGGGGTGAAAACGGTATGGAAACTTTCCGGATTTCGGACCTATTTTCGAAAACGGAATCTGTCGGTCGGAATTTTTTCAGAATTTTTCAGAAACGGAAATGAATACGGAAATATTTTCTCGGAAACGGAATCGAAAATGATAAAGGCAGTTTCCGTCGGAACTCGGAATCGGTCGGAAACTTTCCAGAAATTTTTCTCGGAATTTTCAGAAATCACAAAATACCATGGATTCTTATTTTTTAAGCACTGAACAGTGAATACCATGGTGTTTGGCTGTTATTTTTTTAAAAATATTTGTTATGCAAATCTAAAATTAGATAAGAATATTTTTCATGCATTGAGATTTATCAACAGCATTAGTCTCTTAAACATAGATAATTTATTCTATAGATTGTGTTGTGTGATATACTGTTGATACTTAACAATTGGACTTATATGATTGTGTTTTATGATGAATTGTTGACAGTTGAGACTTGAGAATTGGATTTATCAGTGTGAGGGTTTTTTTTATTCCGATAAATTTTCGTTACCGTATTAGCGCCGGTTAGTTTTCGCTCCTTTTCCGGTTTCGATAATATTCGATTCCGTTTTCGTATCCGGGGTTTCCGATTCCGATTTCGATTCGAAAAAAATATGAAAACAAAAACGATAAAGATGATATCCGTCCGTTTCCGTACCGTTTTCACCCCTACCTACTGGGTTTCCACACGTGAATTTTTTTATGTTACTTAACAACCAGACAAAAGGGCATCGGTGACACACATCGATGCATGCATGCCTAGCAACACGTGGAGAAGTAGGATATAGAAATTGCACATAGTACAAACAAACAGAGCAAGAGTAGAGATCCCTATCGGGGTAATTAAAAGCAAGGGCGAAGTGCTCGCACGAGAGAATTTGGGACGGCGTGGACGCACACGCGTGTATCCACGTCGCCCCCCGCGCGCTAGAAGGCTGTTGATTTTGGTGCGCTCTGGTTACTCGCCAGCAGCGTCGTCCGATCAAGCATCTACGATGCGAGCGCTGGAGCTGGTAATTTTGCAAAAAAATCCTCTCTTACCTTGATAATCTTTCTTAAGTCCTCAATGTAAGTTCACTGTCTTAGGCCCTCTATATGACTATATCCAAGTATAGGACAGCGCCCTGAAAAAGAGAAAGTAAGGGAGTTTTATAAAAAAAAAAAGAACACCCAATCCCCCCATTCCCTCGAAACCCTAGCCACTACTGTTCCCCCATCCCTTCTCTTCCTTTCCCTTGCCCTTGCGCCGCCGCCGCTTTGCCTTCTCCTCGCCGGCGACGACGGCTTGCCCCTCGAGCTTTTTTGCCGTCCATCACGCGAGGGTGGACGGGGGAGTTAACTTTTGGCTGCCCTCTACTGCCATCCAAAAACCCTAGCCGCACCGAAGTCGCCGCCTCCTCACAAACTCCTCTGCGCGTTCTCCTTCGTCCAGGCGCTGCTGTGGTCGTTGGTGAATCGTCGACGCCGTGGTGAACCTGCGGAGGGACCAGACCACGTGGGGCTCGGGGCGAGGTTTGGCCGTGACGCCTGTCGTCGCTTCGTCGCCCTCCCCCTGCCCAATCTCTCCATCTCTCTTCCCAGTTAAGCAGGGAGAGTGGTCATGATGCAGAACGAGGGCGAGAGGGTCGATCTGCTGGCCCTGCCACTCGATCCGGTGGGTAGACGCCGGCCTCCCCCTCCTGCGCTTCTCCTCGCCGCCGACGCCCTCCCTTCCCCCAACACACACACACACACACCATAATAATACTACTCCTCTCTCTTCCCAGTTCAAGTAGGGGTGGTGGTGATGGAGATCAACCAGGGCTGCTGGTGATGGAGAACGACAACGAGGTGATCGATCTGCTGGCCTATCGCTAGATCCGGTGGGTACATGCACTCAAGTTCGCCATGAAGGTCTGGATCAGTGATTTTGCATTGCCATGGGCTATTGTTGTGTTGAATTCTCCGTTGGTTAGTAGTTCTTTGTCTCTGTAATTCATATTTGATTCCTTTTGCTTTGTGCTCTCTTCAGCCGATGCAATCCTTCTCCATCTCCACAGTGGGTTGGCGCCCTTCTGCTCAAGTTTGAAGCTCCGCTGCCGTGCGGCGCCGACACTGTTTCGCAATTGCAGATCTGGCCAGCAACAGGTAATCTGGGAACCATCTGTCGTCGCCTAGCCAAGGGCCATTTGCAATTGCCTTGCCATTGTTATTTATGGTGTAATTTACTTAGGGGCAATGGATGTATGCAACTTCATCATTAATTGAGAATCCATATGTATAGGTATTTTGGGAACCTTTTTTTTTTTTGCCTTTTCCTACTTCCACTTCAATTTTACTAGGTGATATTTTAGTTCCACAATGGTTCACCTTGAACTCTTTTTCTAAATGACGATCATATTTAACGAAACCTTCACTGCATGTTCTGATATGATTGCTCGCCATCATCTCAGCCACTATCTCAAATTGCTTATTACAGTGGTCGGAGGTATGATATTTTGCATGCCTCTTACAAGTAGTGCTATGGCCTATGTAAATGTCTGCAAGACTACAAGGAATCTATGAATCTATCCTGCTCTGCTGAGGGATTCTTTATTTTAGTACAGTAGAGAACTGAGATCAGTGCAAATCGAGGTAATTGATGTTTACTCTCACTTACTACACATTTTATTTGTTGATTCACATTACATATATGCTTCTTTCAAAGAAATGAATGTCCCCGTTTATTAGAGATTGTTTAGGGGGGAGTTGTTTTCTAAATGCCTTTGTGCTTCATTTACATAAGCAAATGTTTATTAGTGTTGATGCTTCTAGCTACATGGTTGACAACATATAAAGATTACCTTGCACATAATGAAACTGAATTGGCTCTTTTTTTTTCCTAAAGAAACTGAATGGGCTAGACCTATTTTCGTATACATTGATATATTCCATTAATTGCATTTTCAAGTATACACTTATATTGGTTTCTAGACTTGATACTTGCTTACTAAAGGTTTCTGGACTTGATACTTGCTCACTAAAGGATTTTATATTGCAGAATTCAGGCTCTATTTCTGCTCCTTAACATCAGAATTGAAGTTATGTGGCAGATTGTGTTAGAACAAAAACCTTCAGAGAAGCTCAACATTTACTAATAGAAGTACGTTTTTGGACTTGTGATGCTTCTGGTGAGGTTTTTGGACTAGACCAACCAATAGCATTTAGGTTGTTGGGCTCGGTGAGATCATTACAAGCACTTGAAGGTAACTCTGTTCTTCATTTGGCCTTTAGGATTTGAGAGGCAAAAATCATTGACTAAAATTACAAACTGTAGGTGTGGCTAAGTAATTGGATGATTCACTGTGGTGCTGATGCAAGTCAGCATTGGTAGTCTTTGAAGATGCAGAATGAACTCTACTAATTTAGGGCTAAGCCATGCTGATTTAAACTGATATATATTTAGTGCTCCTATAGCAATTGGTGAAGAAATTGTGTGGAAGTTTCTGTTACAATGATGAAATTAAGAACATGTTTGGTAATATATAAATACTATAGATTGGATCTGAAACGTGTTGTGGTGAGCTATGGCACAAAATCCTCTTTCCATGAATTGAACACATAATGGTTAGAGGTCGGAGATTAATGATATGGCCTATGCAAATATCTACCAAGATTCCTACACCCATCATGCTCTGCTTAGGGACACTGCAATTTGCTCCAGTAGAACTTGAAATCAGTACAAACTGCTAAGTGGGCTAATTGCTATACTCTTTCACTTTCTACACAATTTTCTTTGGTGATTGACATTACATTTTTTATTTGTTCTTCGAAAGAAAAATGAACCTTTCAGTTCCTTTCCATGCTGAAATTTCATACATTGAGTGCCAGTTACTCCAAAAGAGCTGAATGCGTGGAGCCACAAGGTTGCAGGCAGGTCAATATACTTTGGAGCTGTGATCTGTTGCTCTGTAGATCCTGTGCAGTCAGAGGTTTGGTTTGCTTTGTAAGGACGAATTGATTTTTTGAAACTAGAAACTCAAGTGAATTTGGCACACACCATTATATTGTTCTTATTTTGCATCTGATTTTGAGGTGAAGTTCACTTGGTCAGTTAAGTTATAGCCACCAAAGGTTCCATATCAGATTCCACATATCTAAATGCTCATTTATATTACATGAAATACTTCATGAACCATTTGTGCATTTTGTAGGTTGTACAACTGGAACCTTCCATCCCATAATTATGGATATGAATTGGTAAATAACTCTGTAAATTAAAGAAAAAATTCCTTTTAAGCTTTTGTACATAACTCTGTAAATATTTTCGTGTCAAAAATTACAGATGGTGATAGAGAAATTATATACAATTGCGGATGTGATAATATGCCTTATATAATCTTAGTAGAGCTTTTTGAAGTATGCAAATGTTTTTTACTGTTCAGGCTACTCCTGAAGTTCGAAGCCTTCACATTGGTCAAATGTTTTCATTGCTTTAGATTAGGTGCTCTCAGCGTCTCTCTCATAGTCATGCTATTTGCTCTGCTTTGAAGCTACATAGCTCTTAATCAAATGTTTCCCTATTACCATCTATAAGCTACATAGCTCTTAATTAATGAACGGTAGGGCGCCGCGAAGCGCGCCTAAAAGTCCTAGTTGTATACAGAGTAGGAGCAAATAATGTGTGCATAGTACAGCATGGTGAGTGCAAATATTTTCTCTTCCTTGACTGGAGTAAATAATATCTAATTTGGTAAATATTATATGCCACACTTATGAATTAATATTTAGCAAATATTCAAAAGAACGCTTAATTAATAATTTGAACTTGTGCTATATATCTTTTTCAGCTAAAAAAAATTCTGGAACACCATTAATAGTAATCATACCTGCCCGTGCCTTCCCAAAATAAGTACCCTTCTTCAAGAGAGAAACAAGTTCGTCCACCTTCAATTTGAAAACTCTACTTACTATATCAGGTCTATCTTCTGGTTTTTGCCCTGGAATAAATGCAAGAGCATCAGCTATTTCCTGCCACTTTAGATTATAAGTAAAAGTAATGAAAAGGTCTGGTGGCCCATAAAACCTACAAATTGCCATTGCATCTTGATAATTTTGTATCATATATCTTTTACTTCCTGTAAAGCTAGCAGGCAAAATAACTTTCTTACCAACATAGTTTCCATCAACATCACCCTTGTGCAAGGCATCTTGGATCCCCTTGTAAATCTCTGACCTTAAATTCTTGTTGTTTCTAATGACAAACCTAACTCTATTTTCCTCTATTGATGCAAAAGCGTCAACAATATATTGCTGGAACAGCCGGCCACCACTAATCAATGTTATTGCCTCACATCTACGCTGCTGCAACCGGAAACCATAATATTCAAGCATTGTAACCCCGTCCCTCTTTCGAACCCACATGACCCCAGAACGGTTGTATTTAATTTTTAGCTTAAACCCTTGCTCACCATATGGGAAAAGAATAGGATACTGCAAAGCCATATAATTAGCATGTAGGTTACTAATTCTACGTAGACACCACCTCTCTCCTGAATTATTACATCAGGGCTCTTATTTTTTTTTCTGAGAAATCACCTACCACTAGAGCAGCTATCTCAGTTCAAGTCGGTGTACTATATTGTGGTGCAGTTCTAGAGCGGTCATGCAATAGCCTAAGATGCAAAGGTTCACTCTGCCCTTTTTTAGAAGATCCCTAGCAGCCCTAAATGATCTTACCAACTCATTTGATTCGTCGAACATTCTTATTAAACCTTCAACTATCTTTTTGTCGACACCATTATCATCATCACAATCCCTATCTTTATCAAAAATTGATATGCGATTATGGACCTCATTCTCAATATCAACAATGTAAAGTTGTGCATACCCTAGAGACTCACCTTCTTCAGGAAGTAAAGATCCAATCCTATGATGAACCTGGCCATTAATTTTGAACACGTATGGCCCCGGACCTTTGTTTATACCATAGTCAATTTTAGCACCCAATGATGTGAAAGCGAACAGAGAATTGTATGATCTAATAGACTTAAGGATGTATTTGGATAAAATGTCACCATTTGGATCTAGCAATTTAGCCAAAAAAGGTGGAGGATGTTTCAAATATGGCAAGCAAACCTTACCACCCCTGCAACACAGATGAAAGCGAATATGACCCCGGTCACTTGAATTTGAATAAGGCCTCTTCACACTCTTCTGATACCAAAACTGGGCCCCACAATATTGACACACGTGGGCAGGAGGTCCGTAGTAGGAAATCTCATCTGCAAGGGCAACTGTAAACAAAGCACCATTAATTATTAAGGTTGCATTAATTTAAGAGGCCATCCTAGCACCTATATATATTTTTAATTTAATAATTAGAGTGAGTAATAATGTCACATGGGGAATCATTTTATTTAATTATCCATGTGTTCAAACAAAATTTATCATTCATGTATCGTATTGCACATGAGCCTCATAGTGTTCTCATCATCAAATGATGATAAGGAATAAATGGGACTTAAACATATAAAATACCCTTGTAATAGATAACTCATAATAAGTCTTCTTTCTTAGAGGCATGTAAGAACGCATATTATATATAGAAATCCAAAACTACAATGCATCAAAGGATATTACCTGGAACTTGCTGTTTAGAGACTGCGTTTTTTTAACTCAGATGAACAATTTCCTAATTTGAGAGGTAACACAGGTGTTATTAATGCAATAGATAATAGAATAATATATTATTTTATTGTATATGAGTCGCCTACCCACCTTTCTTTGCTTTTATTATGGATCTCCGGCGTTGCTGCCTTTCACGTATTGTGCCCCCAGTAGAATGTGAACTCACACCTGCATTTAAAAAGGTATTATTTGATATAGCAAATTATATATCCAAATTACATAGAATTTTGAGCACATATGCACGGGTTTTCAGTTTGATTTATAGATAATATACGCGTGATCAAAGCTTATATAAAAAATGTGACATCAACCCAATAAAAGTAAAATATGAAGGCACCTGTCTTGCTTTCTAGACGCACGCTTTCTTTTTGGACCTGTGGGTGGCGTGCTATCCATAAAACATAATTTCCTCTACAAACACCAATATAATATGTATAAATGAGAGAAAGATATCCAGATTTATTTAACCCAGTATTGGAAAACACACTGAACAACCTCAGCATAAGCAATATTAATGGAATAAACTAAGTAGTAGGTAGAAAAGTCCAATGTATGAACCACCGTAGTATTGTTTTCTTATCATCCATGTTAAATCTTTTAGTTAGTCGAGTTAGACCAGTAGTTGTTAAGATAATCACTTGTTGTTAGGCAGGCAAGTTAAGCATATAAATCAATAGTTAGTTCATAAGCAGTTCAAAGTTAGTTGAGTTAGACCAATAGTTGTTAAGATAATCACTCATTGTTAGGCAGACAAGTTAAGCATATAAATTAATAGTTAGTTCATAAGCAGTTCAAAGTTAGTTTTCAAAAAAAAAAATCAAGTTGCAGCACAAGTTAGCATCAGTAGCAACAACAATGCTATAGTCAGCCAAGTTACAACACAAGTTAGCACGGACCAGATAGCCTCATTATACAGATTTTGTATGTTAATTCTAATACTATTTATTTAACACTATTTCTTAAGATGCCATAGTTGGCATATAACACCTAGTACATTTGTAGAACGTATCTTAATTTTGAGCTGCTATAGATAGCCTAGATGAGAACAATTTCTCGAGAAAAACTACCTATCGGGTGCTCAATGGCTTGTGCTTGTATGGGTATGCTGGTGCAAGAAGGTAGTGCTGCTCTTATATAGGACGAGGGAGTGAGGCCATCGTGCATTCGTGCACCCTGCAAACTTGCTGCATGGATGGCCAATAGCATCCATCCTTATCATGTACCCTCAGACAAAAAGCAGTGCAGAGATACATGGGTTATGGCCTCATATATTTTGCATTGTGTACACTTGTAATATGATAGGTCATTGTCAACCACTAGTACCTACTGCATTCCAGTGCATACATTCCCGCGCATGCACTGGTAAATTGCATCCGAACCGTGTATGACATATCGAATGATATAAATAAATTGCACTGATGTGAACATAGAAGGAGGCCTTGCGGATGGCACAGCCTCGTATTCCTGATGGAGGGAGTATTTAACTGGGCAACATATCCTATGCACACAGGCCCTCACGTGTACACACGTGCACACCAACTAAAAAATGTCACCAAAAAATCTAGAAAAAATCATACACATACTTTCAATTGTATTACACCTAGGGTTAAAATCTTAACGTCAAATTCATTATATTTTAGCTGTAACAAAAAAAACAAAAAATCTGACAGTTTTAAGGTTGCAATTTTGTCAGAATTTTATCTTTTTTGTTATTCTCTATGTAGAATGAATTTGAAGATGCGACTTTGCACGTAGATGTAATACTATTGAAAGTATATGTATGAATTTTTCTAGAATTTTTTGTGATAATTTTTAGTTGGTGTACACGGTGTGTACACGTGAGGGCCTGTGTGCATAGGATACGCTCCCATTTAACTGTGCTACTGTGCCATTGTTAATTGCTTTAAGGACCGCGACTATTCCACCATGACATATGTGCACAGTGTACACTAACGATAATAGAGAATCAATTGCAGTACGTGGAACCAATGTGTGCATAGTGTATACTATCCGAAATTTTAACAAAATTGACCCTTTTATTTAGGTTATCTATACTAAACCATAAAATTCGATATACAAAGATGACACATCAACATCCATTAGTAATTATTATATCATAAACCTTATGCAAACATGTTATATCATTCATAATTTATTATATTTTAAAGCTTTAAAATACAAGAATGTTAAATCATCATCCCACATAATTTACATAATATTTTAATATATATTCTCTCCATCATTTTCTATAATATCCTATATACATGTATAGTGCATCCTAGCTTTGTTAATAATTTCTCTTCTCTCATTTAAATCATATCACCTCAATCATTTCTAGCCTTTAGATGATTAATCTATAGTCCAAATTATTTCCCTTATTTTCTTCTCTCATGAAGCCACATCACCTTACTTTTACTTTTGAATTATCAATCTATTTACTATTTATATTATCATAAACCACCTTAATTTAATGGTTTATAGCTCTTTTCCAACGATTGATCGAAAATACAAATTCTATAAGCTTAAGACGTCTAGTTATGTTACACTTTATTTCTACTATTATCAAACTAAACTCTCGTAGCAACGCATGGCATTTCATCTAGTTTCAAGAATAAATTCTGCCAAAAACTAATTTCAGGAATAGGCCGTAACATCCACACTAACCTTATTCGCAAGTATT